TATTTATGTCCCTTAACTTAAGCTGCAAACTTGTATTGATTGCAATAAAAGAAAAAAAAAAAAAGTGAAATCAAGTCACCATCAATTTCAGCTCACTATCACACCTACTCAGGAGACAATTGATTTTCACTCTATGTGAAGCATCATCCATTGGAATTAATAGTACCCCATAGATGTGGCCAAAATCTGGGTCGGTCCGGTTTCGGTTCGGATCCGGCAGTTCAATCTCGACATTTTTGGTGAATGGAAACCGCCTCATTGGCTTCCTTTACCGATTACCGATAAACCGGTAGCTTAAAGGATAAATCGGTAAGGGAAACCGCCGGTTTGGTGAAATTTCAGCATGTGGCTTAACCGGTAACACGAAAGTCATTTGCCATATAAAATAAGTGCAACTATCAACTTTTTATAAGCCAAAATGTTAAGTATTATTTAAATTGCACAATTTTTGTCAACTAATGGATGCTCAAACGCATCAAATTACATAAACAAAATTATCTATTTGCGAAGTCTAACTTCTAATGATAAGAAAAGCATTATTATAATAGTTATATTTTCACTCAGATTCTGGCCAATTGAACAACACATTGTTTAAAATTAAAAAATGATTGGTATTGGTTAAACAATAATATATGAATGATGGTGTATTTGGTGAAAAATATACAATTAAAAAATGAGTTCGTGAAAAAATTCACTTTGGTTTGTTTAATAAACAATTTCGATTCGTTTTTAAGAAAAAAAAATGAGCCGAGTTTGAGCTTTCACTAGCATATCCGAGTTGTGAATAACGCTTATATGGTTGATTTACAATTTTTTTAGATGATTATTTATTCATCTTTTACTTGCACATTGTAATGTTATTAAACTTTTTTTTCTTTCTTCTTGCCGAATAGCTGGTGTTTACTGCTATAACTCAATTCATTTAATACTAAAAAAAAAGCTTGATTTTATTAATATTAATTTTTATGCAACATTCCATCAAATATAATAGGTATACTATAAGTATATGAAAGTCTCAATAAAGTTTAAAAAATACATGCTGAAAGTTTTAAAAAGTTTGGTAAGAATTCTATTAAAATTTTTGAATGTCCACCAAAGTAGTCATTAAACTTTCACATTAATGTCCACCAAAATCACTCACTTTAAAAATAGTATAATGAAAAAGTTTATAAAAATTAGACATTGTTATATCATATATAATAATAATAATAATAATAATAATAATAATAATAATAATAATAATAATAATAATAATAATAATAATAATTATAATAGTAGTATTATAATAATAATAGTAATAATTTATAATAATAATAATATTATCATGATACTATTGTTATTATTATTTATTCTAAATTTCACCAAAGTTAATCAGTTTTATACATATTATAATAATAATTATTAATATTAACTAATTATAAATTCAGACTAAAAGGTTTATGGAAATTACACACCTATAGAAAATTCTATAGCAATTTTCTTTCTTCAAACTAATTATAGTAAAATTAAAATTATCTTATATTTATCTCATCAGTCAATTTATATAAAAAATCTAATTTATTTGATGGCATAAGAAAACCTTTTAAGTTAATTATTTTTTTTTAATACTATTTCAAAATTACTTGCACCAATTCTCTATACGGAAATAGACTATTCAAATTTACAATACAAATAATGCTCAAATGTTAATATTCCCACCGATTATGTGGTATGCACACATTAGTGATGTTAATATGTTCAAAAAAATATATCACCAATATGTACATGCCACATAAACGGCAGACATATTAACATGTGTCCACCCGTGGGTAGAGCCGTAGAGGAGTGTTACTCTTTACAATACATCATGTGAATTTCGTTTCATTTCATACATGATTTCTTTCACCTGATAACACTGTAACGTCCAACAAATAATACGAAATTATGACATCCCTTTTTCAAAATACTCATATTTATTAATAACATGATAAATCCTTACCTAACATAAAAATTATGTAGAAGGAAATAAAATGAAAGCCCAAGTATATATTAATTAAGATTGTTGTGGGATATATGAATAAAAAATAAATAAATCCATTATTTCACTAGTTTTATTATTATTCTATAAAATTTATTATTCACGCTATTTTATAATAAAACTATCTATCATTATTTTATTTTTCATTTTTTTAACATTATTTGGCATTATAAAAATAATTAATTATCTTCTTATTTTTTTTTTTTTAATTGAAACGTATTTAGAAGGACACTAATTATTCTTTTATTATTTAATGTTTGATAAAGAAAAATGAGCGGCATGAATAAGATGCAGATGATGAGTTGGACATGCGACAAAAGTAGAGCTCGGTTGTGTAACAATAAAGAAATACCCCTACTTTTCTACTTCCTCCATTACCTTACAATTCACGCCACTAACACACACACACACACTATTCAGTTATTCACACACACACACACACACACATATATATATATAGATAGACTGTCTCAGAATTAAATCTGCTCTCTCCTTCTAATTACACCCAAAATAAAATTAATATGTCTACAGATCTCGAATTCAGGTTGCCGGCGATCGAGATTAGCTCTGACCGCCGTGATGTTGTGGCTGACGTAGACGAATGCCACACCCCGAGATCGCCGCGGCACATGATTCCGGCGGCCGTCATCTGCCCGCCGGCGCCGAAGAAGCGACGGCCGGCGGGGCCGGCCTCATGCAAGAGGAAGCTTTGGGATCTGGACTTCTTTGAGATTGTGGCCAGGGAAGAAGTCGAGTTCATGTTCAGGTCAACGACGGTTCAGGTCAACCTTAATGGCTCCATCAAAAGGAAATGCATAGCCTGAAAAAAAAAAAAAAAATTATATATATAATTTTTTTTTATTTTATTTTTTTGGTTTTGGGTTTTAATTAATATATATTCCTGATCTATATATAAATATATATATGTATAGAATTATGGGTGTAGATTTTAATTTTACAAAGTATTTTAGGCCATTAAATTGTGAGTCCTTCAAAGGAAAAGTGATCCTCGTTTTCCACTCGAGTTTTTTCGGAGTTCTTTTTTTTTTTTTTTTTTT